AAGCCATATAAGGGGGTTATATGCACATATGGGTGAGGGGCAAAATGGGAATCAAAAGGGTAAAATAGAGTTTTCATATTTAGTTTTTGTCAAAAAGTGGTCAGATGGGCTTATTTGCATCGTTTTTGAATTTTATGGACCTTATTTCCTGCTAAAATCTGTGTCCTATCTTTTATTCTCTTTACCTTAATCAATATGAAAAAGGGCATTCTCAGTATAGCAAGCGTATTATTCCAATGAAACAGATTACACCAAAGAGATTGCCCTTGTAAAGTCACTTCTGAGAACTATTTCGAAATAAGAGATCTATTTCTTTCATTTGACTATATAGTCTTTCAGGTCTCTTTTCTATGGTCTACTAAGGTAGATGAAAAGAAAGAGGAAGTGAAGACGGTGTAAAACTGCACATGAACATTATTATATTCCATACCTAAAATCCTAAGAGCACCAAACAAATCACAACCAACAAAACACAGAGACACAGCAACCCAAAACCTCCATCGCCACCACCCATCACCCCCTACTGCAAAACTTAAACCATCGACACCCTAGTCGCCACTACAACCTAATCACAGAGAACCCAAGGAACAAAAACCAAACCCACCATCGGAATTACCTAGTTACAGCATCGCCGTCCTCGAAATTGTTGGTTGTTGTCATTGGAATTGTGAATCCTTCGTCGCCGGAATCTGTATAACCATGGTCATCAGAGCCTGAAATCACCATCTTCATAAATTAAACCAATGAAGAACAGGTTTTTGTGTTGATTTTAAACAGAGAGAAAAGAGGGGTGGGTGATGGGAAAGAGAGAGATAGGAGGAGGAAGGGTGGAAATTGATGGTTGTGGCAGTGGTTTCAGTTAGCTAGGGCTTGAGGATAAGGAGCAGAAGAGGGGTTTTGATGGGCTGCAACATAAACGAGATTTTTTTTTTAAAAAAAAAAATAAATTAATTAATTAATAGTGCTATAGTAGAGAAAGCTCACAAAATTATAAAGTACTTTCTAAAAATAAAAAATAAAAGTATTTTATTAAACATATTTTTTACTTTTGATTCTCAATTTTAAAAATTAGGAATTATTTCTGTTAGTGAACAGGGCAGCGAGCCAAACAAAATGCACAATACCAAATGCCCTAAGGGTTGTTAGTTTGGCTAGAATGTCACAATTATAGATTGATATGATTATATATATATATATAATTCATTTCGTCCCATAAAAGTGTTAAGTCTTTTTATTTTTGGTTGACGCAAAATAATTGTTTCAATTCAAAATTCAATATAATAATTTTTAATATTTTAAATTTGCCCTTCTTATTTTAAAGTTGTAAAAACAATTAAAATTTAACGTAAGACATATTTGAAAATTCATTCGTGTTCAAAAATTAAACTAAAAGCTCTTAAAAAATAAAATTTTTAAAAAAGAGTAATTTTTGTAGAATGGAGGGAGTATATATATATATATATATATTGTTTTTCCTCTCTATATATAAAACTGGATGCATGTTTGACGGAAAAAGGATAGAGGTTGTTTGGTATTGATTAGGATAGTTGTCCATGTTTGGTCGGTGTGGCGAGGCAATACGAATGCGAATCCTCTCTCTTGTTCTCACGCCTTCTGTGTATTCTTTTAATTGCAATATTAAATTTAGTAGAATACATAATATTACAGTGCAATATATGCAAAATATTGCGTCAGTTATAACAATGTTAAATCACAAATTCTAACATAGTCAAATTATTGTTATATTGTCAATTAAAAATTCATACATTCAGAATTTAAAATTGTTACATTGTCAATTTAAGCGTATGTAGATGAGATAGAACCTATGTCGCATGGACATAGGATACCGATAACACGTCAAATTTTAAAAAAGTAAGACATGGGTACAGCGTGGATACGATTACATATAAATATAAACATTTGTTTTTATACATTTATTCAGTAATAATATTATAAAATTTTAATTCATTAGTATAATTTCTATAATAAGAGTTGTTATGAAATGAATTAGAAAATGAAATTATGTCATTATTGTAATGATTTTTATATTATGTATACCATTACTTCACTACTTTGTCATAATAATATTCATATTATTTTCAAGATGACTATGTAGATTTGTCTTAGAAATGTTCGGGAAAGTGTTAGCGAAATGCCTGAAATAATAAAATTATTTTTTGTTTATGGACACGTATATGAAGTGTCGGACACGTATTCGAAGAGTTTGGATGTCTGACATGGATACGACTCCTTCGTAGAAGTGTCCGTGCTTTCTAGAATAGAACAAAAAGAAAAACATGGTTACACTTGTTTCATGTTTTGTATTGCGGTTGGTGTACTGTAACAAAACAAAATATCCCAATGCTTTTGATAACTTTTTGTTATAATTTAAATAATAGGTTTGTTAACCGGAAAGAAATTCAAATTGAAAACACTAAATTGATGTTGATATTTTCTATTTTTTTGGCTCAGTGGCAAAAATATTATAGCAGTGAATAATACAAAAAAATAAAAAATGAAACAAAAAGCAAACTACCATTGGTGAGCTTTTTTAAATAGCCATTTTGTTTCTCATTTTTACTAAACATATCTACCCACCATCACTCATCCACAGTAAAATCATATTTGGGAGTCAACAATGATGCGAGGGATGCTCTCCCTTACCTCCTCACAATTGCCTCAATCAAGCCACCATAGATTTATTTAGGTTGTTTTAGCACACAGATTCCAGATAAAAAGGGACTCTAGCACGGTGTGAGAGCCAATTTTGTGCAAGCAACAACAAAACAATATTCCTTTTTAACAACTCCGTAGTTTTTCAATTGTGGAACTCCTTGCTTGTGATTGAGAATTATATCACATTTTTTGTGACCGATTATCGGTTTAGCAAGCCCTGGCCTTGACTATACAAACACTTTCACTCTGGTCGTTAAACCACCATTTGTGTGGTCCTTAGCTTGGCCCTTGCTCATGGTTGGCCCCTCCCTCCACTCAATGTCAACTGTGCTTTCCTTCATGGCACTCTCCGTGAAGAGGTCTACATGTCTTATTGTTACAGACAATGAGATGTCTTTCATCTCCAAGTTTATTGGTGATCTCTCTCACGGATTTTCTATCAAAGATTTGGAGTCCCTCCATTACTTTTGGTGTGAAGGACATTTCTAAACCAACTGGAATTCTTTTTTTCTCACAACATAAATATATCACATCTTGTTGCTCGCACCGACATGCAAGGTGCCAAGGAGGTTTCGACTTCGTTGTCCTCCACCGAACCTCTTCACCAGAGGCGGATCTAGGAATGTTGGGTTGGGGGGGATGGGGCTAACTTTTACAGCCTTAGTGTGAAGCAGTGATGGACTCATAATTTTTTTTTGAGAGGGGGCTTCGTCGAAGAATAAAATAAAAAAAACTATACACAAATTTGAAAAAAAAAAATTGTGAAGTGGGCCATTTTAAAAATTGAGTGGGGACATTTTGAAATTTTAACTTTTAATATAAATTAGAAAAAAATACAGTGGGGGGCATAGCCCCTTTTGCTCCGCCCCTACTCTTCATCTTCCTGATAGTTCTTCTCCGGCTGATGCTATCACCTATCGCACTACTATTGGGGCTTTCCAATATCTCTACACCCGCCTTGACAAAGCCTTTACAGTCAACAAACACTCTCAATTCATGCACAAGCCGTCCCAAACTCATTGGGCAGCAACTAGGCGCATTCTCCGCTATCTCAAAGGCACGCTTTAGCATGATCTCTTCCTCAAGCGTCGGGTTCCTCTCACTCTCCATGTCTTCTCCTATGCGGATTGGGCTAGTAATTGTGATGATTGTACTACCACCTCTGCCTATGTCGTTTATCTTGGGGGCAATGCAATTTCCTGGAGTTCTAGGAATCAACGATCAATGGTTCGCTCCTCTGCCGAAGCCGAGTACCGTGCTGTTGCAGCCACCGCTACTGAGCTCTCTTGGGTTCAATCACTCCTTGGTGAGATTGAATAACCTTTGATCTCTCCTCATCAAAAGTCAACACCAGTAATATCCACCAATCATTTATCCTGATTACTGCAGATTGATTTTAATAATCATTTATCCTGATTACTACAGATTGATTTTAATATTGGAACTACCTTAAATCTTGTCTTTATGTTATAACCATCACTTGATTGAATATTTATCTAATGAAATTGTGAAGCCAATTACTTATGCTTCTTTAATTCTTGAAGTCAAATATGATTCCCAATAGGATATATAAAACCAGTCTTGGGACAGTTTTAGACTTGACACTGGAGGAGACATTGGAGAAACTCATATGGGCCACACAATTTTGTTCTTTGGGTCGAATCGCTCCCCTGGAGGAGACATTGGAGAAACTCATATGGGCCACACAATTTTGTTCATTGGGTCGAATCGCTCCCCCCGTTTTAGGAAGAAAAGGTTATACCAATTATCACCTAGAAAAAAACCATGTTGTTGGCCATTTTTAGGGATGATTTTGTGCAACATTTTCAAATATATTTGAAATAAGCTGAACTTTTCTTCAAGAACTAAAGTAATTAATAACATAGAAAATGTCAAAGAAAAATTCTCCAAACATCTTAAATTATCAAAATGACCCCAATAACAAGAAAAAATAAAATCAAACCCCCAAGCAAGAAAATCATTTTTCTTAAAACCCTCGGATTATTTCATTCAGTCCACTTAAAGCCAACTCAAACCCACCAGTGGACCAGTCGACTGGGCCATCCACTAGGCCCATTAACATGTCTCGCACAAATTTTCAGTTCAGGCAAAGAGAAATTTTACAACGTGACGTGGCAAATCCCCTTCTGAAGTTCTAGATTCTGGTGTGACGTGTACGGTGACGGAGAATCCGACACAACTCGGAAATTCTTACCTCACTGCTGAAGTAAGCCGAAGCCATGCCCCTAACTATATAAACGCCTCCACTCCCCGCCATATTAGTACAATCTCTCCTCTCTCTCTCTCTCCCTCCCTCTCCCTTCTGGGGTTTTAGTTTCTCTTTCTATACTTCCATTCCTTTCACATATCCGAATACCTCTTTGCTAATTTAATGGCGAAATCACCAGAAACACAGCACCCAATTGAGGCCCTTGGATGGGCAGCCAGAGAACCAGCTGGTTCTCTTGCACCCTTCAAATTCTCCCGAAGGTATAACCAATTTCTCGAATTAACATATCTTGTTATAATACAGTAATGATCTATTGTTCACCGGTGAATAAGAAACTTTCTCCACAGTAATATTTCTTATAATTGTCTGATTTGAGGGTGTGTTTGGATTATAATGATTATTATATGATGATGTTGCAGGACAACTAGTGATAAAGATGTGAGGTTCAAAGTTCTGTATTGTGGGATATGTCACTCTGATCTTCACAATATCAGGAATGATTTTGGCGGCTGCAAATTTCCTCTTGTACCAGGGTATGACTTGAGATCTTTGGCTCTTAGTTATTTATTTATTTATTTATTATTTGATAGTTTCGGTAAAGGAGCACACACCCATTTTATTTTATCTGGAGTCAAACACTTAACCTTCCATTTGAGGAGAAGAATTTATACCATTTAGGCTACTGTGATAGTGGTCGAAATTAAAAATTAATAAAAATCACAAGTCCTTTTGAGTTTAGACCTTCACTTTTGTTTCATTGTATATTTGAATAAAGATCATTATCTATGAATAACACTATTTGACAGAGTGAGCTTTATATGTATATGTACATGGGTATGCACATAATGCATTTGTTCACCAAAATCCCCTTTTCCTTCTACAACCAAATATAAAGGCGGGTATAGCAATAATCCTAGAAAAAAATATAATAATTTACTTTTTATTTTATTTTCCTATGTCAGCTTGCATTAAAACACAAAAACAAAAATACAGCACAACAATTGAAGGTATACACTCATATTACAACTGAAAAAGACCACTTCCAAAAGTCAAAAATGATTAAAAAAGAAGAAGTTAACTACAGAAAGCCTATAATCCAAATGAAAACTAACAAACAAAACCTCAGTTGATGATTAATAAAATTTTAGTGTTATAATAAAATTTTAGAAGTGATTAAATTTTTAGGTAATTCAAACGAAAACAAACAAATCCAGCCTATAATCCAAATGAAAACAATCAAACAAAATATAATAAAATTTCCACTGATATGATTAATGAATTTTAAGCTTATGGTGTGTTTGATACGAAATAAGTAATAGTATAAAGTCAGTTGAAGATTAAATATTTGATGCCATGAATCTGATTAAGAAATTAACTCTTCCAAAAGCCTAAATACACTTAATATATTGACATGTTAAGAGAATTGATTGATGCAGGCATGAGATTGTTGGGGTAGTAACAGAGGTAGGTAGCAAGGTACAGAAGTTCAAAGTTGGAGACAGAGTGGGTGTGGGATGTATGGTTGGATCATGTGGCTCATGCGACCAGTGCGCCACCAATCTTGAAAATTACTGCCCCAAAATGATACTCACCTACAAGGGAACATACCATGATGGAACAATCACATATGGAGGTTACTCTGATCACATGGTTGCCGACGAGCATTTCGTGGTCCACATCCCCGATAACTTGCCTCTTGAAGCTGCTGCTCCTCTCTTGTGTGCTGGGATCACAACTTACAGCCCCCTCAAGTATTTTGAGCTTGACAAGCCTGGTCAGCATTTGGGCGTGGTAGGTCTAGGCGGGCTTGGTCACGTCGCAGTGAAGTTTGCAAAGGCTTTTGGTGCTAAGGTGACAGTCATCAGTACATCCCCTAACAAGAAGGAGGAAGCCATTGAACATCTCGGTGCTGATTCATTTTTGGTGAGCCGTGACCAAGATCAGATGCAGGTAACCAATTCTATTTTTACCCAATGTATGTCACATTTAGGCATATATGCTGTTAGTTAGAACTTTATGGAAAATCTTGACAATGCATTAGTACTTATGTGTTGATATGATGAATGTTTGTAGGCTGCAGTGGGCACAATGGATGGTATTATCGATACTGTTTCTGCTATTCATCCTCTCATGCCTTTGATTGCTTTATTGAAGTCACATGGGAAGCTTGTTTTGGTCGGTGCACCAAAAGCACTTGAACTACCTGTTATGCCTTTGCTTTTGGGTAAGCATATGAAATCATTATGGCTATGTCCGGTTGCACGGAAATGGAGCATTGGAATTAGAATTGGAATTCAATTTTCAAAGTTGTTTTTCTCCAATTCCAATTCCAAGACTCCAATTCCATGCAGCCAAACATAGCATAATAAACTTTTGTTGAGTAGTGCTTGAAGTCATACACATTACCATTCTTGCCCCTGTTTTATACTGTTTAGTGTTCTGACTAGTAGCTAAATGGGAATGTGGAATGACAGGAAGGAAGATAGTTGCTGGGAGTCTTATTGGGGGTTTGAAGGAGACACAAGAAATGATTGATTTTTCTGCAAAGCACAACGTAAAACCGGACATTGAAATCATTCCAATGGATTATGTGAACATTGCCATGGAGCGTCTTGAGAAAGCTGATGTCAAATACAGGTTTGTCATCGATGTTGGGAACACATTAAAAGTCGACTGAAAGTCTTGTGGCTTCTGAACTTGGGGTATTTTTTGAGAGTGGATCTGGTTTGTATGGGGCTTGATGATGTTTTTACTTTAGTTGATGAATCCATGTTTGTATTTTTAAGCTTTGTTTCCTATAACATTAGAATTGTAACCAAAGGATCAACATTGTCTTTGGATTTCGTTACGAATAAGTAAATAAAGAACTTTGTTTGCCAATTTTGGAGATACAACCTTGATTGTTGTTCGGTTTGATTTCAATAGTTTGCTATTTCGATTTTGACAAGGATGTTTTATGTCTATTGATTTTCATATTTATGATATCTCTAGCCTAGGATGAGATCTTTCAATTGAGCATGAATTTGATGTCCAACTTGGCCCCGATTTTGGAAACAGAGGAACTTAGAAAGAGAGTGGGTAGATGTTTCAATTTAGACGTTGGATGGGTGGAAGATCCGAATTGTAGGGAAATTTTGGGAAGGCTTAGAGTTATGACTACACTAGACTTACGGTTCAGATTAAAAGCCAAGGTCGGTAAGTTTAAAGAAGAGCTAAAAGAGGTGGAGTAAAGCAAAAAATTGGAATTACAACAGCTTATTACAAACACCGAGGAAGAAATCAAGCAAGTTCAGGAATCAAGTGAGCTTGATGCTGCAAATGTGTTGACACCCATTTTGGTAAATTGCATGTGCAGTGACGTGGCAGTGGTTTGAACCAAAGGTGGATGATATTTTAACATGGATTAAAATTGGAATTGCATGCAAGGGTGGTATGGATAGATTTATTTTTGAATTATGTGATAGGTAAGGATTATAGTTTAAGTAATTATCTTTTAATTGGATTCAATTAGATGTTAGTGGTTATCCCTAGGATAGTTTAATTTGAATAAATAGTTAGTCGGGTTATAGAGTTATGATATAAGTGAAATATTTATATGTAGGAGTTAGTGTACATGTTATTCTATAAATAATGGTAGAGGTATGTTTTGTAGGAGGTTCAACACCATCAGAATCTTTATTTTAATGTTATTGCTTTCTCAAGCTCTCCCTCTCTAATTCTTCTTTTCCCATATAGCAATCTTGCTATTATTGTCTATTTCTTTCTCTCGATCTCTTTCTCTCTATCTCTTCTATATCTACTTCTTTTCCCCCTTTCTATTCTCACAAATTGTTACTATTAATTCATTCATTGTTGAAAGTCCTTTTAACTAAGACAATCTTGAACCTACATGTGAGTTGGATGTTCTCTTTCTCATACAATCGTCTGAGATAATCTTTATTACAAAAGAGACTCGGGTTGACCTGATTCTTTTATATTCGAACCACACAATTGGTTCTGGCACGCCCGTATTACATCAAATTCATTATCGGCTTTAGCCAGCCAATTTTAGGGTCAACTTTCTTGGTACACCCAGTGGGACCCCACTAGGTGAGTAATTTATAGTAGTTATGCCTCTCAGACCAAAGAATTCAAAGGTTGTTGCCACAACAGATGATGACGTTGAAGAGGAGAAACAACAGATTGGCCCAGGTAGATCTAATGTGGCCGAATCATCCATTCCATCCGAAGCTCCTTTAGCTCGGATATTAGAATCCCTTATCTAGAAAATGGATGGCCAGCAAGCTTAGATTGTTGAGGTGAAATCCTAAATAGGAGAAGTAAATTAATTCATGATCTCTAAAATTGGTGAGCTGAAATCTCAAGCAGAATAACTAAATCAGATGGTGTTCTCTGAAATAGAAAAGATAGGCAAAGCGAGAAAATCGGCAGGAGGCCAAGAAGGATTCAGATGAGTCTTTCTCGTCGAATGTGACACCAGAGAAAATGGTAGATCTGCAAAGACAGTTAAGGGAGGCTCAATTGGCATTGATAGATAATGGTTGTCCCCAAATGGTAAGGGGTCGAAGAAAACTAAAGAGGAGCAAACGATAAGCCAGCCAAAAAAGAAAGGAATCCTTAAGCGACTCACCTTCCTAAATAAATCCCATGAAGATCTTCGGCATAGTAATACCAGCCGAAGTCACTTGAAGACAGATGATCAGGATTGGCAAGGACATATATCTAACCAATTCCATCCACGAGATCGTCAAGCCTAGTTTTAAATGAAGGGCGCTAGTTCAATCTGAAATTTGGGTGCAAAAGGGGGCAGATTCACATAGAGTACAGATAGCACGACTAAGGACAGATATGGCCAAGGATAGATGGACCCGAATCAAGCACCTAAAATTTCCTCGGTTTCAACAACATTCAAACGGTGGCCCTACTTAATCTCAGAAGCGTATAGAACAAAGGAGAAGGGCCGAGGACAAAAGGAAAGGTGAAAAGGTAAGCCAGAAAAAATTTGTCAAGCAAGTTCATGCTCCGGAGAAAAGTCAACCTGCTAAGGTAAAGGAACACCAGCCGAAGTGGCCCAGACGCAAGAATGAGTTATTTTGTAATTGGCAATTATCATAAACAAAACAAGTCCAAGTCAAGTTATAATTCAAGTTACTATATCAAGATCGACGGTGACTACGAAATTGGAAAGTTGTTCAAACTTACCATTATTGAAGACCATTCGAAGAAAAAGGTAAGAGCAACACATTAGGAAGGATTCTAAACAAATTAGGACACATTCTATAGTTGGTAATTATTTTAAACTTACCATATAGTGTTTTCAGGTTTAAAAGAACCAAGTTTCTAGTTCTGGTTAAGTTGAACTGATTCAACCCCTTTAAACCAGTTCAAAGCTTCAAGTTGGTCTCGTATTACCAACTGCCAAACTTGAACCAATTCAGCCCCTCTGAACCGATTCAAGCAGTCCTGACAGCAATCCAACTTTCAGTTTCCTTTCCTAATTTGTTTCCAAGTTGGTTTAGAATTATACTAAATCCTATGCATGAATTTTTTTTTTTACATATTTTTAGAGGGATTAGGTCATTCTATAATCTATATAAACCTTGTCATACACATAGGTTTATTCACGGCTTTTTGCATTATCAATTTATTATTCTTAAAAGCCTTAGAAAGATTTTTGTTTCAGAAAATCTTAAAGATTTTTTTGTTAGTCTTTCTAGAACACACACATATTCACATAGTGATTTTAGAGTTGTGTTGTTCAAATCCTGATCATAATCATACAGTTGCATCTACATCGATCAAATAAAAGCATATCTACTTCTACATCGAATTCAGACGATTGAAGAATAGAAGTAAAAGTGATCACACTTTGAAAGGGTTAGAGCACTTTTGGAGTGTTGTCTGATCTACCTGCTACTCTTCTACAAAGATCAAGCATAAGCCTAAGGTCAAGTTGCTGTTGGACGGGGAGTTACAAAGTTAGAGGATTGTCAGCAGTTGGTGTTTGGTATAATGATAGGGTGTGAGCCGGTGTCAAAGTTCAGTATACTTTGTTTTAAGCATAGTGGATCGGTTTACTTTGGATTGCACAGTCAACGAGGTTTTTCCCACGAAAATAGTTGACGTATTTTATCAACTAGTGTTTCCTCGCCAAATTCCTGGTGTCATCTCTAACTTTTACTTTGCTTTATTTTATCTGCATGTGATTAATTATTTAATTACTAAAATAAAGAAAGTTAGAAAAACACAAGATATGTTTTCAAAATAATCAAAACTTTCTAAACATTCCACTGCGTACAACTCATAAATTGGTATCAGAGCCAATCTCTACTTATTGAGTTGATCCTTGTAGGAAAGTTTTGATTGATTGCAAAAATTGTTTTAATCATTTCTTATGCGTTGAAAGAAGGTGGTTCTAATCAACGTGGTCCGTTGTTTGAAGGAGATAATTATAATTTTTGGAAATCAAAGATAAGAGCCTATTTGTAAAATTCAGGTGGTAAAACGTAGGCTATTGTTGAATCTGGCTATTCACCACCTATAGAAGATAAAACTGTAGATGGTAAAGAAGTCAAGGTCTTAAAAGATGCTTTTGCTTTTACTGCTATTGAAACTAAGCATAATGATGCTAATGGCAAAGCTTTATATGCAATTATTAATTCTGTTGTTTTATCTGAATATGCTAGAATTTTTTTTTTGTAAAACTGTTAAAGAAGCTTAGAATATTTTGCAGGTTACTCATGAAGGAACTTCAAAACTGAAATTATCCAAAATTCAGATGCTTTCTCATAACTTTGGGAACATCGTGATGAAAGAAGATGAATCTTTTTCTGATTTTTGTTCTAGTCTTCTTGAAATAATTTCTGAATTGCGTTACTTAGGCAAAAAAGTTAGTGATAAGAAAATCTGTAAGAAAATCTTAAAGTCTACCTAAAAGATTCAAGATTAGAGTTGAAACCATCACTGAACATTGTGATTTGACTTCTTGCAAAGTTGACGAGGTTGTAGGTTCATTGAAAACCTTTGAGATTCAAAATTTTGATTTAAATCAGAAGAAGAAGAATCTTACTTTAAAATCAACATAGGTTGAGAATTCTGTGGATAATAACTTTGATGATGATTTTGCTTTTCTGTCAAGGCAATTTAATAAGATCTTGCAAAGACAATAGAAGAGAAGGAATAGCAACATGGCTAATCCTCAAAATTTTGACATAATGTCGAAATTTAGGTTTAATGAAAAGAAAGTAGAAGAGTCAAAATAAACTGAATTCACTTGCTGGAATTGTGGTGGCAAAGGTCATGCATCCAATGTTTGTCATAGTCTTAGGAAATAACAAAATGATAGATATAAAGGAAAAGTAATGAAAATTTCTATTTCTGAAAATTCTGCTTTAAGTGATAATGATTCTCCTCATGATGATACTAATGACTTTTCGTATGTCGATTTTCTTGAAAGAGGTCCTCATGTCATTACTTTATCTGACTATGATATTTTAGATAATGAAGATAATGAAGTTCATGAAGAACAGGAACAAGAGGCTGAAAAGGACGATGAAAGATTAAAGAAGATGGTCAGAGAAATGATAGAAGTAAAACATGCTATCAATAAGCTAGCAAAGGAACTTATCCAAGCAAAAGGAGAGAATGAAGATATAAGGAAACAGATTGATAAAGGCAAAAGGAAAGCTTTTGAAAGTAATTTTGTTATCACTGAGCTTAAAAAGAAGATCATCATTCTTGACGAGAAAATAAGTATTGTTAATTCATTGAATGAATGTCTTGCTTTGAAAAATGATTATCTTGAAATTGAATTGAAATCTGAATAAGATAAACTGAAAAGATTCAATATGAGACAAAATAGTTTGAATAAGATAATCAACAT